TAGCAAGATCCCAACAGGATGATGATGATGATGCAATGAATAGTTAAAGAACAAGACATTCATCTTTCTAAATGCTGATTTAGCTCAATTTTTTGGTATAACTAGAGGTGGAAAGATTTATATCTTTAGGGAGTTTTTTTTCAGTTATGGGTAAAGGACAACCTCATTAGACTGAGGAGTCATGGTCTCTGCCAGTTGAAAGCAATGGTGGATTTGGGATATTTGGGGCCCAAGGCGAAGGCAGGCAAGGAGCCCTCTGAAATGAAAAAAGAGAACACACAGTACAACAGGTCAATTACGCAGATACAAACATTTTAACATAATACATGTCTATTATTTGTTTATCCCTCTCTTCCATTTTCTAAATTTCCCTCTCCTTTTTAATTTCGTTTTCTGTTCTCATTATTTTCTCTTTGTCTTTCTCTTCATCTCTCCCTTTAATAGAAAACCTCCCTGCCCCTGTTTTGTTGTCTTCCTCTCCATGCTTTCTTTGGTGGAGTTTTTGTATTTTGTCCCTAAAATCGTATTTTAAGAGTAAATCTTACAATAAGGAGATCTATATCAACTGACTTTAGACCACAAAGAAAAAACTTCCAAAGCCTGAAGATTTTCTAAATATTCAGCATGATTGATTCCTAAATGACATGTCTAAATTTCTTTTCATCCTCTGTAGCAAAAACAGATGCATTTATAGCTTATTGAAAATTTCCCAAAAGCATTCCCTTCTTTAAAGGGATAGAAATGGGGGTGAGAGGGTTATCTGTTGCTCGCTGCTGTTGCAGTGAAGAAGCTAGTCACCTTTCTGCTTTCCTCCTTTTCTCCACTTTTCAGCATCGCCGGGGTAGATTATCTTCATTGTCTTTTTCTTTTCTCTTCACACTGTTTGCTTTCAAAGGTTTAGCTGCTCTCTTCTTGTGCAGTAAGATGGACTGATCCAATGTAATAAGAGAGTTATGTGACACTCACAATACAATAAGCATTCTGAAGGTACTGTATTTCAGCAAAGGATTTGAATCAGAGATGTGCATAAAATAAGCAGTTATTGTCTTAACCATGCATGTATGAGTTTTATGGGGACCTCAGGAACTTGGAGCCTAGTTGAAGGTCCCCTGGTTTAAGGTAGTTCATTGAAAAGTTGAAGTAAAAACAATTGTATTAAAAGAAACAAGTTAAACACATTAAAGTCTTTGATGGGACTAAAATTGTGCTGAGAGTCTGGGGGTAAAAAAAAACAAAAAACTATAGGGATCCTGTCATGGTCTTGGTTCTGTTGTTTTTTACTTTGCTCCTTGTTTTAAAGTTTTATTGGTATAATTTGTATTTTGTTGTAGTTTCTAGATTTATGTTCTCACGTTTTTCTGTGGTTTTCCTCTGTTGCCCTCTTGTGTTTGTTCCTTTCCCCTTGTCTCCCTCTTGTCTCCTTTCACACCTGCTTCTTGTCAGCTCGTTAGCCCTGCCTTTGTCTCAGTCAGCTCCATATACTCTCCCTCTGCTGTCACTCTTTGTTGGTTCCTTGTCGTTGCTGGATCTCTGTGCTGTTTTCTTCCTACCTCGTCTCTCCCTGTCTCCTCGTGATTATTTTCCCGATGTCTCCATGGTTCAGGTTGGGTTTTCATTATTAGTTGGATTTTTAGTTACCTGCCTTTGTTTACTGTTTTTTCCCCCATTAAACTGCAAAAAAAATCTCCTCCATCTCTCTGCCTCTGGGTCCTCAAACCTCAACCAAACCCTGACAGATCCAAACATTTGATCTATCATGTAGTAGTTGAGAATACTGAAACACTGAGAAATTTCATAAAAGCATATTTGGTGAAAATCTCTCTTGAGATTAATACAAACCTGGAGACCACCTAAAAGGCCCTAATGTTGGGATTCCATGTTTCTTTTTAATTTCACCACATCTCACCTATGACTTCTTTTAACTTTATGCTTGCTCTTTATTTTTGTGATTTTGGTAATTTAGTCTCTCCCCAAACTGTTAATAAACTGCCATAAACAATAAAACAGGTTTTAAGAGAGAAAAATTACAAAATCTCCAGGCGATCAGGAACTTTACTTTAATATCAGTAACATTTGTCTCAGTTGTGAATCAGGTTATATATTAATCAGTAAGAAAAAAGCCAGTGTTAACAAATGACAGGAGAAAACACTTTCCGCTTGAAGTATTTTATTGTTTTTATTTTTGTATAAAAACCTTTGTTTTTTCCACTTTAGGCAACAAGTAGCATGAGAGTTGATCCCACAGCATAAAGTTGAAAGTCAGACGTCATCAGTCTTCTCAGCAATCACACATCACATCCCTTTCACACGGCTAAACACGCAGAGACAGAAGAGTTAATGCGTAACAGTGGTCCCACACCTAATTTTATCAGCAGAAAAAAACCCAAAGATCAACAATAGTCAGTCTGAAATCATCATCACTTCAAACATGGTGTTATATCAAGGCTTCATGCGAGCACAGAAGAGCCACGATAAATCTGCAGCCTGACAACAACTCCAGATACTGCTTTGAGAGAGACTGATGGATGGCAGCATCGTTTAATTAGGTCTGAAACCACTGCTTTGTTGCAGCTCTGAAGCAGGATTATATTAAGACAAAACAAAAGGCTAAAACACATCAGACAACTTATACACAGCAGCACATCCTGTGTTAGGCGAGCCGTTGCCAAGAGCAACAGTAGGAATTTCAGGCAACAGAACAAAGGACTGATTTTGTGTAAGAGCTGTCGGCTCACTTCTGCAGCTCTGTATTATTCAGACAAAAAGATTTTAGAAAAAAAAAGTAACCAGGAAAGAGTTACATGTCTGCGATTTAACTCCCCGTCACGGAAAAACGCCTCATTTTACCGTCAGCACATTCAGAATCTGCAGCGCCGGACTATCGCTTCTCTACAGGAGGCTCCTCAGGACTTTCAGCTCAGGATCAATTAGCAAGAAAAACATAATGAAATCATTCCTCCTAAGGGTTCACAACTGTAAATTGAAAATCTATAACATCAGCACCTTTAAGGTTGAAAATACACATCCTCACTAAAATTCCAGGTCTAAATACAGTCTAATAAACATCCACTCATACATGCACACAATTATACGCACTTTCTCTCCAACGTAGACGCACGACAATAAAGTAGGTGAATACACAAACACGTTTTACACACACAAGATCAGGCTGTAAATCTGATCCATAAATTATTAACAATTGATTGGTGTAAGTACTTTAAGCTGCACATGTTGCAGTTTACTCATTAAATGCTTGTTTTTATTCATAAAGGTCCCTGCAAATGTATTTATATTCCTTGAACTCTTTTTTTATTTTTATTTTTTTATGTTTTTATTTCTGTTACAATCAAAACGTAAAGAGATAAAAAACAACTTAAAAGTGTGGTTTGGATTTGTATGAAGCCCCATTTACACTGATTCCCCATTAAAATAAAATCCAGTCCAACACACTGCCAATTCATAGCTAAAGATGATCCACCTGTGTGCAAAAATACTGCTCCTCTGTGAAGGCATCAGATGTCTGCTCGGGGAACAATAAACAGAATCATGAGGAGAAGGAACGCAGTGGACGAGTCAGGTGGAGATGTTTAAATAATAGGATAGGTTATGAGAAAGTGTTGGAAGGGAAACTAAAACTAGTCTGATTTATAGACGGCTACAAGCAGAGTAGGAGACACACCAGACATGCGGAAGAAGCTGCTCCGGTCAGATGAGACGAATAACGCTACAAATTTAATCCAATCATCCCCTGCCTTCTACATTTACCTGTACATCTTATGACCAACTGGAAGGTCCTGTTAGGTGGGTTAAAGTTGACCTGCCTTAGGAAGTAGCCATAAACCAGAAACCCCTGGTAAGGATGATGGACTAGTACAGTATTGAAGATCAAGAAGCACAGATGGCTACAGCAGCAACGTCAATGAGTGCTAAAGGAGTAGAAACACACGACGATCAACTAGTGACTCTCTAATCAGAGAAATATAGAATCTAACGACAAGCTGATGATGGCACAAAGAACAACATTGCTTGTATTAATTCACAATAATAAATTTAGAGGCTAAAAAATTTTATTGTAAAAAAAAAAAAAAGCAGGGGCGAAGAAAAAAACATTGGGAACCACTGGCTTAAGTTATGCCACTAGGGGCGCTAGACCTGTAACCTACAAGTTAACGCCTCCGCCGCAAAGCCGCAAAATGAAGCAATCTCCCTGTCACACGGAATCTGATTGCAGATTAATTGATGCAAATCGATTATCTGTGGATTATTTTTTTCAAACAAACGATTAATAATCGGATAGCCAAAGGTTCCTCAAAGAAAATTTTTTACGAAATTAAACCAGGTCAAACTAAAACTTTTCCACTTCAGAAGCAGTGGATAGACCATATTGACGGACAAAAACTATTTTTTTTTTAATCTTAAATGCAAAATATTTACCGTATATATCTTTTTTTATCATTTTGATATATTTCCTGCTCTAAGTGACTTGCTCTGTCAGCTAAAGCTACTTGTATGAGTTTCTATACTAGTTTAAAAAATGAAATAGTCTAGACAGCTGTACTTAATGAAATTTCTTTTTGCTTACACTTGCGTGTACAAAATGACAAAATAAAATCTGTCTATTTTCCCTTAATAATGAATCAATTACTAAATTAGTAACTGATTATTTCAATAATTGATTCTTCTGATGAATTTTTTCATTCCTAAATCTGATAGCTAACCACTTTGGACCAGCAGATTGCGAGGTCATGGAGTCACTTGGAAAGACGAGGAAACATTCAGCCCTCTGGGTTAAATCCCACATCAAAGAACTAAAACTGTGTTTAATCAGGTAGGTGTTATATCAGCTTTGTTGCCCAACAACAATTTTTAGCTTATTTAGCTTATGCAGAGTTAGCTCAGACTACCATAAAGCAGCTCTCTGGGTCAAATGGCTCCCTGCTAAGACTTTGAAATCACTCTTTAAAGATGTTTTTAGTCAAATCAGAGCTTGTGTTATTTTAAAAAGAAAGTTAACCTTAAATATTGCAAAAGCGCCCCACACTTACTGGATTTCTATCTGTGTAAAATAATTAGGAATTGCTAAAAGGTTCAAGGTATACATATACATTTGCAAGGTACTCTAATCTGGTTTGATTTATAATCTGAACTTTCTTGCACAAAAAAAGCATTTAGATGACTAAAAACTTCTATTCTGGTGTTTCATCATCACATGATATGACTGCTTATAATGTAATAATGTAGCGCTGTGAAACAAATAACCTTTCCTTGCCTTCCCAGTCTGCAAGGACTTTAAAACCAACAGCATGTAATTCACAAAAGACACAATAATTCGAGAAATAGTCAGTAAATTAGTTGGAGGTGACCTTTGCTTTTTGTCTGTCTGACTGCGGTTGTGCCAGCAGTCCAAAGTAAGCGTTAGTAACAGCTAAGGCCAGCGCTAATTCGCTGCTCTCTTGGTTCTTTTCTACTTGTCTGAGCAGTGGTGCCCAGGCTTGTGTTGCTTTAACTTCACAATGTGCGTACAGATAAAAAAAAAAGAAAAGCAGCTCTCCAGCAGGCTGCGAATGCTGCAGGAACAGTACGCAGAAACAAGTATTTCCAGGATCATTCGGTGTAGTTAGCCAAGGGAACGATCAGAGGCCTTCATTTGGCTTGACTACAGCATAAGGTTTGCGGTAATGGAAACAGAGCCAGCAGCTACACCGGCGTCTTGTCCGCAATAAACAGTTTGTGTTCAGCTTTAATAGCTTTATACATCAAGCAAACAAAAGGCTTAAGTCAGCATTTACACTCACTGTTTCTGTAGCTGTTAATGGTTTCCAAATAAGGCCGCATTCATCACCCCCAACAGAATTCCCTCCAATGTTGCCTTCATATAACTGCATTCTCACTACATCTTAGGAGTGATCTTTATGTGCTTCCAGCATCTCTTCTCTTATACTCTAACACCTTTCTGCACATAACGTAATGTTAGTCACTATAAGGGACCTGTATACTTTGAGGATTGCAGTGATTATTGTGAAATATGTATTTTACTCATCTTAGATGAAGATATTGTGCAAAATATCTGCGAAGATGCTAATGCTAAACTTCAGGAGGCAGTGGATCTGCTTCTTTTGCCCGGCAGGACTCATCTTGGCTCTGCTGTTTCGGGACGGCTTTATCAGGAGCTGCAGGCCTCTCCTCCAGCTCTGCTGCACTGTCATCTGTGCACAAATGCATGTTGGTCAAGCACTCGCCCACACTCTGTCTGCTGGCATTGTCATCAAGTGTGTCCCCTTGGAAATCCTCGACTATTTCTTGGTTCTTCTCGGCAAGCTCGGATCCACTCGCGCTCTGCAAGGACTCGTTCTGTTCTTCTTCCTCGGTTGCAGGCAGTGTTTCAAAGGCTCCAGGCTCTATGGTGCTGAGTTGATAGTACAGCAGAGAGGTGGAGTCTTTGAGGAGCTCGGAGGGGCTCTCCTCCTGGGTGTCAGAGATACACAGGACCGTAGCCCCTGTAGGAAAAGGTCCCTGCAAGAGGATCTGATCCACACCTGTAGCTTCTGCTTGCTCAGGTAGGAGGCAGAGTGGGTGCTCTGGGATCCCGTCGGAGCTCAGCTCCTGCTGCACCGCCTCTCCCTCAGCCTCCTCTCTTTCCCTCCTCTCCTGCTCCTCTGCACTCTGCAGGTGCAGGACAGCCGTCTCATTCTCTCGTTCCAGAATATCCTGCTCCACCAAGAGATCATGAACCTCTTCCACTGACTGCACCTCACTCTCCTCCAGCTCTGAGTCCAGGCCAATGCCTGAGGACAAGGTTGGGGATGTGGGGCATGTAGAAGAGGGTGAAGACATGGGGTCAGATTCAGTATACGGCTCCCCAGGCCCTTGTAATGGCAACCTCCTGTTTTCCACGTCCAGCTTCATTATGGTATGCAGGTAGTGTGTTCGGACACGGAGGGGGTTGAACTCGATGCGGCCTGCGATGTTGCCACAGCCATCTCTTGAGCAGCCACAGGGGAAAGACATCCGATCCACCTGAAAAACAATTAATTAAACAATTTTAAATATTTTAATATCTGCATGATTTGTCTTTAGGAAAGTCCTGGAGCCCAAAAAGACTTACTTGGCACTTAATACCAGCCTGGCTGCAGCCGCAGTGGCGAGGGTCACAGAACAGGCGGCAATCACAACCACACTCCTCCCTGGAGAGGCGGATGGCTCTGAGTTCGGCTTTCTCCCGGGCATCTATGCGTGCAATGCCAGAGGCCCGCAGGAGGGCTCGGCGCCGCTTCGTAGGCAGAGGCTGAAGGAAGAAACAGTCGTCCACCTCAACGGCATCCACATCGAGGTCCTCGTCTGATACGTCCTCCAGTGTAAGCAGGTCTGCCTGAGCGCACTCCACCGTGCCATTCCTCGTCAGCTGCGGACGAGAATGTAGAGCTGTGACTGCAATCGTGGAGCCACAGGATTTTTGGTGCCGAAACATTTAACTAGTCAGACACCAATTTTCTCCCTCCAGCTCTTTAGGTGGCGGTAATAAAATGCGCGAAGTTGCATGCAAACTACAAATACCTTTCAGCGATATATTTGAAATAAAATTGAAATTATGGTGTAAAAAATAAAAACAAAAGAATATCAATTTCGATTTTTGGCAAAAATCGTACAGCCTCTCATCTCGGTTGAAAGTACCTTCATCTTGCGAGCGTTGAGCTTCTCCTGACGCAGGTGCTGGCGCAGAGTATGTCTGTGGCTGCTTTCCTGCTCGCGTGCAAACTCTCCCAGCGTGTAGTGTCTGATGGAAGAGTGGTGACGGGCCATGCCCAGGGAGCTCCCCCCCTGGCTGGGCACGCTGGTGAAGCCCTGCCGCCGGGGGAAGTAATACACCGTCACCACATCGAAACGGACCCGCTTCCCCCTCGGCGATGGCTTGTGGTGTCTAAGGATGGAGGTGGCTGATGTAATGGCGGGGAAGGGAAAGAGATAAATATTTAGGACTTTATTGTCACTGTTTTGATTGGAGCAGGCGTGTTGCTTTTTCTTCTGCTCTGTGTGTCTTTCCTGATGTTACTTACGAGTAAACGGGGTGCTGGAAGGTGGGTTGAGGCTGTCACAGCTGTCCGCGCTGTCGCTGCTGGAGATGTCATCGTCCGAGTCTTTAGGTGTAGAAAACAGAGAGCTGCTGTCCACCTCTTCATATCTTCTTTTGAGGCTTAGGGACGGACCTGCCTCCATGGAAACCTGCTATCTGAGGGGACAGATCAACACTAATCGAGACACTACAAACAACCACTGTGTATAAATACAAGCGTAGAAGTCAAATGAGAGAAGTAGTGTTAGTATTTGAGGGCTAAATATTTGTGTTGGTTTTAAATCAAGCAGGTCAAAGTGTCCCAAAGATGGGTTTAGTTTCTCCTTTTCACCATGAAAACCCAAAAAAACACAGGCGACATCTGCGCAGTCCTGCCTCGTTTTCATCTGTATTCCACCTCCATCATTTCATCTGTCGCCCCACCACCACCACCACCGCTCCGTCCTGAACATCGCACATTAAATCCTATTCTGAAATTATCAAGAGTAGAACTGTAACCATAGCAACTGGTGCAACATAGTTTGTGCGAAGAGCCTTGAAGCACACGGTCTCTATGGCATTAACCCACCTGATCCTGTTTTAGATTTCGCAAGGTGGTGTTTATCACATCTGCAGCTTGAACAAACGAACCAAAGCTTGATATTTAGATTTTTTTATAAACTCAAATAATGCCTAATCCAAACAGACTTTATAGAACATTGTAAAAAAATTCTGCAATTTGCATCAGCATTGCTCTGGGCAGAGCTATGTGTGTGTGTTCAGTTAGATAGATGAGTAAAATGCCAGGCGAAGGACAGATAGACACATAGATAAATAGGATAACTAGATGCATGTTTGGTTAGATTCACAGAATGGCAGTCAGGCTAATGTAGCTTTGAAATAGACAACATAATAAAAAGTATTGATTTATTCTTTATTGTAAGGGAAATGTAAAATATCTCCATATTCAAAGATTAAGTAGGTGTCTTTCTTAAAAGTGGTGAAAATGGAAAATGTTCTTTTAATACTTCATCATGAAAATATTTTTTTTCGTCTACGGAAGAGGATTAGGGCCACTGAAAAAAAAAAAGTTAACTGATTTTTAAATTTTATTTCAGTTTAGTATGAACTGTCTTATCTGTCAGAATTCTGACAGATAACAAACATGTTAGCATCAAGCCATAGCCATGTCTGTTTTAGAGACTAGCTCTCTTGTTTTAATGACCTTCTGCTCCTCTGTTAATGAGGGGACCCCTCGGGCACGTAAAAAGTTGCCTAATTCCGTCATTTTCCACCAATGTGTCACTGGCCCTCTCAAACTCACATCTTTGTCAGTTAAGCTGAGTGCTCCCACATCTCTTCCTTCATGGTGCCCATCTACATTACGTAAAATCCAAAATTCTGAGAAAAAAGTCAAAATTCTGAGATTAAAGTCAGAATTCTTACTTTTTTCCCATACTTAACTGAAATAAAATGTAAAAATCAGTAAAAAAAAATTTCAGTGGCCCTAATCCTCTTCCGTAGTCATCTTACAAAAACTGACCTCAGGAAGAATAGTGGTCGCAGCATACTGCTAAAAAAAAAATGCTGATGATGGCCTGTGGACATGATTTAAATGGTCTATTTGAGAGGCAACCTTCTATCAAGAGAAACTCTCAATGTAGCTTTTAATATCATTTTTTAGAAAAGACATTTACCTTAGATGGTCTTAGAAAAAAATAATTATTCAGAAGCACCACAGACAAGGTTTATTGTTGATTGAATTCATGTCTTGTCAAATTTAAAGTAATTGCCCAGAGAGTAAAGACTATGAGAAATTGTATTCAAACACATACAGGTTATGTGAGCTGTGGAATATTCAAGTAATGCTGATTTAGGTCTCACTATATTTCTTGTTCTGCTATTTTAGTTTTTAGATGTATCAATAGAATCTGATCCATTCAGGTGAAAGTTGGAGGTTAATTTAAGAATGACTCTTTTCTGTATTTGTTTTGCCCTTGTAGAGGTTTAAAGATCAGTGCAGATGAATGAATATTCAAATTTTCCCCTAGTTTTTACAGTAATTATAATAGGAATATTTGCCCTTCACTCATTCTCTTTGCTAAGCTAATGACCTGTCATTATTGTCTATTTCTTTGGAGATATGTTTGTTTTTTTTACTCCACAGTCCATATGAGCTTAAGTTATGCTTTGACTTCTATTTATTGCTCTGCTGCTGACACACCTATAAATCCTCACTGTTGCAAGACAAAAGGTATTTGTATTCTGATCTTCTAATCTCATTATTAAGTACTATTACTATATAAACAATAAGATTGCTGGTTTTGAATCCTGCAAATTACTGATGTGTCACATTTTCAAGTAGCAATAAACACATTCCTAACACCACCTCAACCATACATCTAGTTTTACTGTTAATAAGATAATTACATTTTCTGCTTACTTGTGAGTAGAGCCGATATAATCATCTGTTACATAAATTACTTTATCATATTCCTTTGTTCATTGCACTTTCATTATGATATTTATTTAACAATATGAATGTTTTTTGCATAAATAAGTTAAGTAAATAAGGTAAGTATGTTAAGTATTGAAATATGTATATGCTATTTAAGAAAAAAGCCCAAGCAGGGACAGGAGTTGAGAATTAGCATAAACTCTATTTGTAGAGCTTCAGGGACATTCTTTGTTTTGGCACGATGTTTGTTTGCATCCCTGTCAAATATAGATTTAATAGATGTATAAAATCTGTATTATTATTTGTAGTTGTTAAATTCTTCATGCATCGGATCACATACACGATTTAGATCTGTATCCTGCTGCCAGAACCAGAGCCACCTTAAAACATTAATTGATCCTGATCCTTATATCTGATGCACAACTTTTTCCATGTGTCTACAGATGTTTTGTTTTGTGTTTATTTTCAATTATTACACTGAATTTGATGATCTCCAGTAAATTCTCCAAATGGTCAACAGTTTTTTGATTAATCAAGGCTGGAAATATTGTTTGGGTTTCATTGAACTCTTTGGATCGCCATACTAACTTGGAGAAACATAAAAAAAAAAAAGAACTATACACTGGGATTCTTAAAAACACATTGGATCTTTAACCCTTTATAGAGCAAGTTAGCAT